ATCACGTATCGCTAGTAATCCTAAATCCTAGTTTCGTTTCGAGTTTTGATTTTAATCCTTAGCTGTATAACATGGGGAAAAGTTCAAATAATATCTAGAAAATTTGCCGTGTGAAATTTCTAGATAAAATTATTTGGAATTTTTACTTCCATTAAGAAAATCAATTCCTTTACAAGAGTTCAATTATTGACTTAATTGCCATTTTTAAATGAACGTTGTAAAAGCTGGCGTATGATCAATAAAATCATCTGTGGTCGGATCAGTTAAGGATTGATTAATCAAGCGTATCGTGGTGTCGATCCGCGAACGCTTCGTTTACGCTAAACTCGAATCAGCCGAGCAAATTAACAGTCCAGTCCTTACGATTCGAAGAAGAGAAGAGTTCGAACTCTTCGTCTCTGTCTTGGAGCACATCTCGGATGTACATCCGTTTCCGAGTTTCGAGTACAGTTACTATATTTCGAGTACAGTTATCTTGCACGCGACTCGTCCTCTTCTCTTTCCCTCCGCGCAGGAGGGAGATGGACTCCGGACTCTCTCGCCAGGCGATCTCGCGAGTTAGATAGTCTGGCGCTAAGCAGGCACGTGGGTCGGCATGCTCGAGGACGTCTGCAGGGGCGAGCGTGTCTGGTGGAACCTCAACAGCTCGGACACAGTGACCGCGACGCGTACGACCCCGCGACCTCCCTCCAGGACATCGCTGGCGCAGCATACGAGATTCTGAAAAATCGGTAACAAGCACATGCGCTTCTTTAGCACCTCGGTTTTTCTGTCGCGCACGACTCGTCATCTGTCTCGAATAAAAACGTGCCGTTGACTTAGATCATAATCCAAAAACGATGAAAGCACACGTTTAAGAAACCGGGAAATATCTTAAAGATATATGAAAAGAGCCTGGAGTTATTCCTTCTATCAAGTAGCTTTACGACATGGTTTTAGATAACTGTGTTGTATCGAGATATTCTAGGCGACAACGAGAACTACTTTTATTTTGATGAAACATGCGCACCATGCGAATAAAAATATAGAGTAATAACGCGAATCTCTTGTATATGATCGGTATAAATCTCGAAAGTATCTTATCTCTCAGACATCTGGATGACACCAGATGCCGGATGGGTTAAAATCCGATCTTTTACCCAAGCGGGAAACGTTCGAATAATACGCGGATACATAAATGTATGAATCGAGAGAATATAATCAAAAGAGAATGAATCTTTCATGAAATACAGACAAAGGCGAGACTGGATGACGTCAGGAGAACGCTTTAAAAAAAAAAAAAGAGTGCAAGGTCGAACTCGATTAAGGAAACTTCCTCTCCAAGGACCCGCAAAGCCTTTTTGAGAATATTGCAGAAAAAATAAATAACAGTTTAAGGCGCATTAAATTTATCGCAAACGCGACGGGCTTGCGAAAAGTACAGCGGAGTGAAGAAATGAGGAGTGTCGAGGTCGCAGCTCCTCCGATTAGTCGTCGATGAGCGAGCGTAAAAGTTTAAGAAAAAGATATTTTATTATAAATGGCTATAGTATTACAATTATTATGTTTTTTCTTACCCATACAATCAACGTTACAGAGTATACCTCAAAGGAGAAAAAACAAGGCCGACGATATCGCTGTCGTTCAAGCGGCGAGACAACTAAAGAGATTCAGTCGATCGACTCGGCGCAAATCGAAGGGGAGATGCGATGATTGTCTCTTCGCATTAACGTCCCGCCGCTGGGAACCCGTTCCCTCTAATAGCGAAGCGTCAGGGATGGCGGACAAGTGTCATTTATGACGTATCGTTTATAAATAAATTAAATATGAAAGACAGGAAAACTAAATATAGGTACACTTGCGAGACACGATATCTGTAGATACGACGATCTGTGCGATCGTGCGACTCGTGTAAGTTCGCGCGTTACATCGGTGGCTCGACCGTAGTCGTTGAACGGCAATGCTTCGGATCGAATCGGGTCGAATAATTGCACTCGTCGAAATTAGGCAGTGTTTAGCTAATAAACGCACGTATTTCCTGAGCACGATAATACGATTTTATTTAAAAATTTGATTTTCTCTCAAATCGTCATTTGTGATTGTTGTTATTATTTATCGTATAGTGTAGTAAGAGTAAGTCTGTGATCTGCGAATTAACATGAAAAACTAACCAGACATTAAATAATAATCATCAATAGTAATTGTTTAAATTGCCGAATAATTAAGAATTTATTGAATGAATAACACATCCAATTGTATCTCATATAAATATGATTTTAGTTGAAAAGTGTGTCCAAATGTCTCCCTTAAAATCGGGAAGGTCAAGAAGTCCGAGCGAGAAATTAGCGGACATATTTAAACAAGATTTGATAATTCCCTTTAGAACAATCTTCGCGAACGCCTGTTATATTATTAGTCTGATTAGATAAAGCCCTTTCTCTTGTAATCAATACTGAATGCTAATGAATAGTCACAATCGAATTCATTTCCAATGAATACGATAGAAACCCGACTCGATCGAAGCAGCATAAATGCGTTGTGCGTATATGCGTTTTTCGAGATCGGTCGATGCCGAGCGCTTTGATACACGCTTAGACCGAGTTGGAACGAGTCGATCCTGACCGCTTAGGCCACATATCTATTTAGAAAGAAATTATTGTCTTGAACTCGGTGAGCAGACTTGATCGATCGTGCAAGTATGAAGCGTTTAAGGAGACGCCGCGGAATAAATATAGATATATATATATAATTAGACAAGAGAAGCTTCAGAAGCTTACAGAAAACAACAACGGACGAAAGTATACCAAGCACCAAGTGGATTTAACAAGCTAACGAATAATTTAATTAACTTACATACGTTAACGTTAACGTGAAAAAAGGAAAAACCAAAGAAAAAAGATCAGAAACGAACTAGCTTCAACGAACTATATATCTGTTTTCATATATAATATATCTATCTATTTCTCTCTCTCTCTTTCTATATATATATATATTTCTGCATATATATAAGCTTTCTCTCTTCGCGTAGTTTACAAAAATTATTGTACATAAGCTAAACGCAAACGGAATGATTTCTCTCCCTCTTTAAGTACCTCTCCTTTTCGTCTCGTAAATATTCTTAATAGCGATGTGTAGCCTCTTGCGAAAGCGAAAGCTATTGGTAAAATTTCACTGCTACGATCTACGAGATTGACTCCTCGACTAGCACGACTGGATCCAGATCAAGTAGAGAATTTTTACTCTACATACAAAGCTTGAATTTAACGCGATCGGCTTTTAGTAGCTTCTGTAAAAGTCTGTGTCCACGATGCTAGAACTTGGTCCAAGCTCTAGTTCCGAGAAATGTGCCCACACAGTACACAAATGTTGAATCAACATGTCAGAAACGTTTCATTACAACATTGCAATATTGCATCAATGTTACGAAATGTAGATTCAACGTTGAAAAGATATTGCAGAAACGTCTAATGTCCGCTGAATTGTAATGTCTTGTAAACGTTACAATTCAACATTCAGAAAACATTGTTAAATTATATTGAGTTTAACATTGGTCGCGTTTAGCAGAATATTTTTTACAACTGTTGGAAGTGCTGAAATTGAATTGTTCCAATAAAATAATAATCCAAATCTTAGCTCAGAAAATTTCTGACCGCAGCAAAAATATTATATATATACATTTCATAATTATACATTTTTTAAGTATCTATTTGAGTGTCAAAAAACAATAATTTGTTTAAGATTGTTTTAACGTTGCAGCAATATAAAGAATCAATGCACAAACATTAACCTGGATTCAACGTAGAAAAGATATTTATACTTCAACATTGCACTGTTTCAACAACATTGTTTTAACTTTCTGTGCTGTGTGGAGTGAAATCTATTCCATAAAAGCTGCAAGTTGATTTTCTGCACATTTCTCGAAACTAGAAACTTGGACCAAGTTCTAGCATCGTGGACGCAGGCCTTAACGGCCGTTAACATCGTCATAAAATCATTGTGCTGGCCCGTTTGCGGAGATTCGGCATCAGGCAATCGCGTAGATCGTTCGTGAACTGTTGTGCTAAGCGACCGACATGAAACATGCTGATATGCGCTAAATTCGAATCCAGTCTCAAGTTGTTGAGAATTCCACCCCGATACCTCGTACCAATTCTTAATGAGAATAATACTGACTTGACGTAGCCGTCGCGACCGTTCGTATTCGCGTCCCCGCGAAAGATCATTAGGCATCCGTCGTAATGATCGATGATTAAACGTAATGAAATATCTGGATGATGACTTGTCGTCGTTCGGCCGTTCGTTCGTTATTCCGTAATGGACGATTCGCCCGTTGGATGTAAGCGCGGAAGTTATTAGCGGGCCGCCTAATTGCGCGTTTAAGATTCGGAACGCCCGGAGATGATAATTTGTTCACTGACGGTGCAATTTAACTTACGGTTGCTAACTGACAATTGCAGCACAAAGCTTCTGGCGTTCTCATCATTTCTCTTCAAAAGAGGCATTATTAACAGATACTATCGTTACTCGTTTCATCGCACATATCGTTAATTTTATGTACGATTAGGGCAACATAAATCGTTCATTTTTCACAGATAAATGTAAAGGAGAAAACGAACCTCTCCCCTCTTTCTCTCCCGATAATTAGTGCCCAATAAATAAATACGGTGAAGTTGTATTCAAGCAAGTAACACTAAGAAAAGATCCGTTCGAAAGATTAATTATATATATATATATAATATATATATAACAATATCTGTATAAATAGATTATATGCAAAGCAAAAACAACGCGTAAATAGAAAATGAGCACCGGGCGTTCCAGTTTCGTCCAAAAGGCCACACGGAAAGACCCGCGGCTAAGTAAAAAATAACTAAAATTAAAATGTTGCCGTATAAATAGTAGAGGCATCCACATTGTTTTGGGTTGCAACATTCACTAATTGTAAGTTTGCTGCACAAAACGCATATAGTTGTCTCCACCAATATGGGTATGACAACCACAGATACAGCTGTCCCAAATATTACTATTTATGGGGGTTGTGCCAACCCTAGACATGTGGTAACCATATCGGTCTCTCCGTGCAACATTGCCTCTAAACTGACTAAATAGACATCGCGTTAAGTAACGAGTTGCAGCTGCGAAATTATCGTCCGTACGTTGCAAATGAAATGCGCAGAAGCCACAGCGAATTGTTACAACAGTCGCGGAAAAAGAAGAGAAATGCGAGGAGAAAATAATCTGACTAGAACGGGGGATAGTTCGACTTACAGCTAACGATACTATTGTAGACTAGAAAGTACAGAACCCACTCGGCTGCAAGCGCGAAAAATGCGATGTCGCTTACGCGTACGCGACCCGAAACCGTAACGTCTCCCGGCAAGATCGTAGACTGAATCCGAGTAGTCGCAAGAAATCATGAAAGCTACGGCTCGCTTTTGCAACGCCTTAAAAAAAAAGAAGATATACTGGCATGCTACATAGAGTAATGCGCGTGTCGGCTCGCGACGGTACACGTATAAATATCGTATTATGCTTGTAAGATAGTCTCTCTCTCGAAGTACAGCTAGTGGCCGCCCGTTATAAGGCCCGCTTACGAATACGTTAGGAAGAAAAAGAATCCTGCGTCTCTCTTTCGCGAAGAGCCCTTCCAGCCCTTCCCCCCTGAAAGTTTCAATTATCGAAAGTTCGGCTCAAACGTATCGTTTCATATTAGGATCTTCCCAACGTCTCCGGAAATCCTGTCGGAGAAATGAAGCAATGTCGCGCTCGATGGAACGCACTGAGAAATTTGGCACTGTCTTAAGTACTGCGGCGATTGGTATCAAAATCCTTGTCTGAGAAGTCCTGTCTGCCGATCACTTGGATATGATGCGATATTGTAACTGGTTTTTTTTCCGACAGAGATCCCGTCTTACAAATTTAAAGAGCGTTTTCTTAACATTACAAGTTATACGCTTACATATTATAGACGATATATGCCTTCTCTACATTTCTATCGAGTTTTTATGAAAATAAATTGGCAGGTAGCAGGCACCGTGTCTCTACCGTCATATATTGCGGTCACTTTGATCTCGACTGATTGCTTTTACTATTTTCATAGCTTCTATTGAAGAAGTAACTGTTGCAGAGTTTAAATCGACATAATTTTTGTGAAACGTTAAAGGGTACAATTTTTATCTCGTTTATGTTTATTTAAATTTCGATACTACAATCAGAATCGGGCCGAATAATTGCCGTATTAATTAATTAATATAGACTTACAGATTCTTTACGTTCAATCGTAAAGACGAAATCTTGGTGTAAAATACATTTTTCATATCATCCAAATTCCAAAATTCATATTTTTCACCTTTCGAAAGCATTGGAACTCGAGCAAACTTGACGAGATCGAAGTAACGTCAGTCTAAAGTACAGTATCTCTTTTAGACTACGACCAAACCGCTTGGTCGACAAAGTGTCGAAGAATGTTGTATTTTATTTTTTCCCCTCTCGAAACGAAAGCGTTGGTTCCTTGTGCCGGATAAAGAAGACAATCGATCTACTTACGAAATTACGATTAAAGAAAGCGCTGACGCTTCCAACTTATAACGAATGAATATAAACGTCATCTTTAAACTCCTCCTTTGTCAGATCTTACATTACCAAAAATATAAAATTCTCGAAACTGAAAGAGATTCCCTTAGCACCTTTTCGTGAATCCTGTAACACTCGCAGGCTACCTATCACAGACCCACCGATCCTGAAAGAGCCGTAGGCAATTCATTGGTCGAATCTTAAAAAAATATTGCCATCGAAGGCATCGCAGTTATCTTTCCGCTAGCTCTTTCTTCTCTTCCTGAGGGACAATCGCGGACCCAGGCGCAGGAGAATGATGTCGCAATACCAGTCGATTGGGTGTCTGAGGCTTTTATAAAAGGCAATGGATACTTCCCGAGAATTCGGAAAGTCAAACGGGATACACGGCTTATACAATTCTCGAACGAGTATTGCACATCAATTCTCGATTTCTCGACCATTATCCTTTCTCTTTATCAAAATATCATCTCGTCGGTCTAGCCGACGATAGCCGACTTGCGTGATTGCAAGTGGCGTTCATATCATTCTGCAAGGTACATTCACAGACAACTAAACGTGATATGCAAGCGCCTTACACTTTGATTGCGCTCTTTGATTTTGCGTCAATTCGCGGTAAGCTCGCTGGGAAAACTAACAAGCACAGAATAAGACTTCGTGTTTTGCAGGCGACGACATCACCTGAACTTTCGTTGATATTCCCGCTTGCAACTGTCGAGAATGAAGGCTTCTCCAGAAAAAAATACAGCTACTTACATAATACTTAACCGACTAAACGTTTCAAGCTGCCTCTATCAATACTTAAAAGTTACCTCTCCGAAAATTCTCCGCTGGCCGCAAGATTCCTCGGCTCGCACGTTCGAACGAGGGAACTTACGCGAGCGTAGGTCGAAAAAAGATTGAACAACCTTGTTAAAGCTACTATCGTGATGAATCGATTTTCGAAAGTTAAGTACTTTGCCTCCGGCGAGGACTAGCAATTTCATATGCGGCAAAAGATATGTTCTGATATTCCTTAAAGCGTCTAGATAGACGAACCTTTAATTTCCTTAATCGGTACGTTCTCCGAAAGACACTTTAAAAAATTACAGAGTACTTCGACATCGATTACAGCCCTGCAGTGTACTGCAATTTATGTAAACGTTTAGAGCGATTCCATTCACAGCACGATCTTATATTCAAGATTGCCTCAAATCTGATCTTAAGATTTCATTCATCCAACGAAATGATCGTACAGCGTTTCAAGGTCATACTTGAAACGAGCTTGAATATAACTATAAATACTGACCTTAGTTTCTCTTCTCAGAGAAGAAACGTGTACTGTATTTATTGAATGAAATAGCGCCCAGTTCTTCGCGATTTGCCGAACACCACTCGGGGGAATCTTCGAAGTCGAGTCCGACTTACGACACGGCACTTTCTCGGGCCCCGACGAACACAAGTACAAGTAGAATTGTACAAAATAATTCAAGATATAGTCCTTGGAACATCGAATTGCGAAACGAATATTGAAAATGCCGCGCGTATCGTTGTTCGAGCGGGACGATGATTCTCAGACTTGGTGCAACTATCGAAAAGTGAAATCGCGACGCAACGACGTTTGCGGCAGTCGATAAGAAGATCAGAGGATACCCTGAGAATCGCCGTCTCGAGACGATGGTTCCTGGCACTCTTTTTCCCTCCCCATTCTTAATTCATCGGGTCTTCAGTTTTCGCACGCTGGCGGCTTCCACAGCGTTTTCAGCACCGCCTGACTAATCGGGAATCGGGAAGAGATAGAGCAAAACCAGGGCGGATAGGAATGTGGCGAAAAGCATCGCGGACAGGACGCGGTCTTGAATCGTACGGAGTGAATCTGCGGCCGGCTCTTCGGTGCCACTCTCCCCCTCATCGCGAACAAGGAGAAGAGCGGTGACGAGGCGCGCCAGAGCCTCCAGCCCGTACGCGTCCATGTAACCCACGTCCATGATTGCGTCCGCGTCCAATAACACCTCCTGCAACACCAACAACGATACTACTCAGTCCCAGTTTCTATTTTAACGTACTGCGAAAACATTTCTCACGTGGCCTTAAAACGTATATCTCTGTCCTCTCCGAGGAAGGCCCTACTTTTGTACCAATTAGAAAGAGAAGCGTTCCTCGGGGGACAGCCGTTCTGTTACCCCAGCCTATCACCGTGCGGTACAAGGAAATCATTATTTGCCTCCGCGAAAGAACTTTTGATTCATTTGTTGAGTTATTTCTCCTTACTGACGTTTGCTTTGTAACGGTGCTTGTTAAAGTCGACTGTGATCAATTTGTTCATTTATCCTTTAATTATCTGTATTCTGTATCAAAAGTTCCAGCCAGAAAACAATCGAGGAACATCGAGAGGGATGGATGGGAAAAAAGCAACAGTAATATAGTAGTATTTTATGTAATGATTAATGAAGAATTATTCGGTTCGTTTGTAAAATTTGGGATAGTTAGTCCGTGGATGTTAATTGATGAGAGATATTCGGATGATGGCAGGAAAGGTGAGAGCCCGAAGTATAGACTGTTTCCCGAAGAAGCAACACAAAAGCGAACTGAAATCTAGGCACATGCAACTAAAGCTTCTTCGCTGATTCATTCCCCCCCCCCTCTCTCTCCTGGTTTTGTATTTTTATATATCCGCATGTCTTCGTAAAATCAGTTTGCAACTCGATCGAAATCAGATGAAAATCGGGGACTGACTAGTAGTCGTTGAAAGTGTCATCGAGAGGTGACGGCTAGATTGCCGAAGCGTTAGTCACGATGTATACAGACGTTCGGTTACGAATAATGTGCGGTAAATTTTTCCGTCCTGTTCACCAAGCAGGTTCGATAGATCTGATCTAAGAACGACGCTCGGTGAAATTGATAATCGTGCTTCATGAAGAGTTTTTGATTATCCAGTTTTATATTCTACTTTTCAATGAAGCACGCACGGTTGACCATACTACCATGATTCTCTCGCCACATCACCATTTGTTAAAGGAAAAAAAAAAAAACAGAAACGTCGGATTAATTTGCTCGATATGGAAGTATCCGCCGTATCGACATATTCCATGATGTACACTAATGATGACAGCAGTGTCTCATGCATGTGTAGTATATACCCTAAGCGAAAGAGAAGCGCAAGCTTCTTCAAAACTAATTTATAAGATTAATGACGTTTCTTACCTCGTCAACGCCAATCTTCCGACACGCCTCGAGGAAGTTGTCGACGTTACGCCTACATCGTGCCATTGTCAGTTTAGGCTACAACAAAAATATCTCGAGGTCAGTCTACCGCTATATGAAATATATCACAAAATGGCGAGAAAAATACTCACTACAGCGGGGGAAGGAACGTGTATACTAGCGACTGATCGCGGTCTAACGTGGTTTGCCAGATGACAGAGAACGACGCCGTCCGTTAACGCCGGTGCGAGGTCCTCCGGCAATGCCATCTTTAATCTCGTCTCTATGTGCTGTTGGATAAATATATTCCTGATTGTACCGCGTATAGAGATAATTACAGTCACTTTTTATATTGTAACGGTGCTTACACTTCGCAGTTGTTCGATGAGATCAGCCTCTTCTTTGGCACGCTCGAACTCTCTTCTCATAGTAAAGGAATACTTCTCAGGCACGTTACTGTTCCACGTGACCGATCGCGGGGATTTCGGACTGCCGCCGTTTCTGCTTGGACTCTTGTTCCCTAATAAACATGCGCATACTATGAGCATGGTGTGTATTCGGTGTCCTCTCGTGTGCTGCGTGAAATGTATAAGAGAAATTTTTTTCGTACAATGTAAAATTGCTCTTATACATTAACTGCGAATGCACTTATCTACGAACAAATATATAATCTCCATTGGGATCTTGTTTGTCAGTTTGGAAATTACCTTCAACGTAACCAACCGCGGTTTTCACCAGCCTGGGCGCGTGCGCTGGGCTTGCATTTGTGGATAGGATACTACTCGAAGTTTTGATGGGCGAGCTAGGCTTTTTGTAAGGTTGCTCGAGATATTTGCCATTCTTATTGTTGTACTCGCTATTGTTACCGTTGATGATCGGCGTGTTTTGGTAATTTATTCGCGACGGGGTAACCTTCTGCACTGGCCTCTTCAACGCATTGTCCTCGTTAAAGATTTGCTTGCCAGTCAGAGCGATAGTCTCCTTGTTGTTGCCCATGTCGGTTTCGTTCTGCGTCTCGTTGCCTGGAGGCGTCACTTGCTCGCGAGGTCTGTACACGCTTAGACCTTCGTTAGCCCTCTGCTGCTTCAAAGCTTCTTTGTACTCCCTAAGAATAAAATAACTTGTAATATCAAAGCGTACACTGTCGTGATCTGCATAAGAGCATGATATGATAACTTTTATGAACGTTATCTGATGATCCTTGCTAATACGAATGATCAAAGCAAGACAGCTATATATAAAATACCGAAAGCGTTATTACAATCTCACGACGTATTAATCCTCGTGATACTTTGGAATGAAGATAAAAGATAATCCTTAATCATCTTTATTAAAAGTGGCTAGATCTCGTTTCTAGTTTTTCAAAAGGACAAACAGCATATATAGATTTCATATGCACATATTCTTAAACATTTGACCGCAATCGAGTATTCAGTCATCTGGACGCTGGAGAGGATTAATACGACAAGGTCACTTGTAGTTTGCTCAACGCATATAATACGTCACAGCATTACCAGGCGCGCCTGCCAGATGTATAGATGAGTGAATGAGTAAATGCAAACGTGATAACATGAGATAAACTCGGACGGACAAGGGCTTTTGTCGATATGCTCCAAAGCCAAGTTACCTGTAAGTCTGTATGTGATTGAACGGCCTCTTATCGTCGCCGTTCACCATCATAGCGGAACCCGTTGTAGTTTGGAGCGGGTGTACCGATTGCTGTGCGGACGGTATCTGCTGCGACTGACTCGTCAAATGCGTGGACTCCAGATGGCTGTAAAAAGGGATTGCCGGCCACGATAATGCACATGCACGCATGCAAGTATACGTATGTATATATGTAAAGCTACCGGGACAATTCGTATCACAATATCAATGGCAAACATCGAGGGAAACGCGTTCGTTTGTTCCGAGGGAAAGCACGCGGATCGGGCAATTGACCCACTGATCATCCTAGTGAGAGACTTCACTCACCCCGGTGGCGTAATCGATGTGTGATGAAGGCCGGAGATCATCGGTCTTCTAATGTCCGCTCCGTTTTCCGAGGTGCTCCTCTCTAATCTCCTCTTTTCCAGTTGATCGTGCAGTATCATCGCCTACAAGAGATTGCGCGTGAAGAGCGTAAACTATAATTTTTGGCATCTTCGTGAAAGACACCGTGACAATTAAACGGAGATACTTTTTCAGCTCAACTGCTATTAATTTATTCCTTAAATTTAGGATTAAAAATCTCCATCTCTGGATAAAAAAGAATGTTCTCTCAATTAGTTTTTCAACTAATATTGTGTTCTGTCTCAGAATTATATTTTGTCAATTATTTTAATTATAAGTTTCGAAGTGAATTTTAGGGAAAAATCAGTCTTTGATACGTTAGAGAAATGGTAAACACGAGAAAGCACGTGATTTCACTGTGCATTAAATATACACGATTACGTACACTAATGCTGTAGCATGCATCCATAATTTTGAAACATCGTTAATGTGACGTTTTATTGGGTCAAGGCTTTATAACGAGATTTGAGCGACAGCCAACAACGGCTTGTCGAGAAACTATCATTACCGTAGCTCGACTTGAGATCTGTGCGACAGCTAAATATAGCGGCTATGTCATCCTTTAAATTCCGCAATACAGAGTCTATTGCTTAAACACTTACTTCAAACTTTCAAGAAATCTAAATAGTACGATAAACTCTTGATAACAATAGCAGATATACCTCTTTCCTAATCAATTATCGGTGCTGTAACTATACTCCTATCGCTTGTAGAAACCTGACTTTTCTATTTTTGGATAGACGCCGTGGAAATTTAATTATCTTGAAACATGACGTAGTTTTTAATCCTAAATCGTTCGTACGAATAGAATCAATAGCAATCGATATTTTTATTTGCTTAATAGAAGAAATAGAGAAGGAATTGCAATTATTCCTATACACAAAAGGGACAAGTAGTGCCATCAATGAAATATAAAAATGTGTACCGGAATATTTTTCATAATTTAAATATTAAATAAGCTTCTTTTTTATTGCCAGCAATAACTAATAAAATGATGACGGTAAATCTTTTCACAATAAACATGCCCGATTGAGGTCGATTACTACACATTTGTTGGTTTAGATACTTTTTTTTTCTTGAAATAATCAAAGTGATTATCTCTGGTATCTGCGAAAGTCTTACGTATTAGCCTACCTTGCCCAACTCATCCTCCAGGGACGTGTGCTCCCCGGGTGAAATCGTGCTGGGTGTCGACGTGCCGCTGCAGGACCCGTTCACGCCTACCTCGTGCGGCAGCGTTATCGAGAGCGGTGAGCATTCCTGCCGCCACAAGCTGCGAACTTCGCCGTCATGTACCTGCACGCAAACGGTGGCCAACAGGAGGCATGTAAAAGCGTCAACATTTGTGTGCATTTTGCGCACCAATACAATTTTATTCGTGCACTTTGTACAATGATTTTGTTCAAATGCGAAATCGCACTCGGTCCTCGTTCTCTGTTTTTGTACAACAATTTATATACAAAGATTGTATGAAAATTTACAAAAAGACGTACACAATAATTTTTCTAAAACAGTACTAAGGGGGTCACATGAATAAAAGAGCGAAAGACTCTCAAGAAAGAAGCGTCTAGGAAAGCATTTGTTCTAAAGCACAATAAGCAAGTAATAAAAGTATGTCCCACGATATGCTACTGTTATTATAAAATATTTTAATAGACACGTTTATTAGCGTCTATTCACGCAAATAAGTATTTTAACTATTGCATAAGTAACGCTGCAATAACTTCATTTATCTCTTCAGCATTTTCTTCGTTAAAAGAAATAGAGACATTTGCTCCGCTTTAATCGTTCGATCCAATATGCTTATTATCCCTTAAGGTTTCCTTCAAAGAAGTAAAAGCAAAAGCGTTTGTGCTTCGGTTTATTCATATGACCGATTGTCCGCACTGGGCCTTCGGATCAGAGGTCCGCGGGCGACTCGGCGGTAGACTCGCCGAACAACTTCGCGAGGAAGTGGCTGTAGAGCGTGTGCAGAAGATGCAGCGATAGCGGAAAGGCCACGAGAGCGACGGTGAAACTAACCGCGCTGTGGATTTCCTGGGACCAGCGCTTGTCGACACCGTCGCTGGTGCTGTATCCGCTGTCGACGTTGTGCCGCCGATGCGACCTCGTGTCCAACGTCGCGTGACCTCTCGCGTCCAGAGGTGTCCGCCGCGTTCGACCGCCTCTGGCCCTCTCGTGTTTCGCTGCCTGCCTCTCCAAGTACTTGAAAATGTGCGTTCGCCCGCGAATGCATAGCTGAAACCGGCAGTGAGAACGATCACCTTAACCATACGAGACCTCGTGTTCTCGGCAAAGGAAAGACGTCCCGTGTTCCCTTTAGTTGCCCCCCCGGCGATGTATCGAATGATACTGAACGTTTTCGAGCAGCGAGGTATTGATTCATAACTTCAAATAAGGTCTCGAATAAAATACGAAGCGAAAGGCACCGGTTTCGCAATCAGTTCCGTAGGCAGACTGCGACTGAAGGAAACCGCGGAAAGTTCAATCAAGTAATACCGCGTACGGTTTTATTGGGAAAAAATTCGTCGAGGGGAGGACGTGGGAGACGTATCGCGGGAAGGAGATTTGAGCGTTTGAGCGAAAAGAAACGAATCCATTAACGCTAATGCTCACCGAGGCAGGCGGCGAGGTCAGCGGATTGTCGGACAGTCTGAAATCCACCAAGCTCTTCATCTTCCTCATCTCGTTTGGAAGCACAGATATTCGATTGCCGCTAATATCCAGCTTCACGAGCCTCAGGTACGTCAGTTCTACGTTTCAAAAAATGCGACTTAAGAACCTGATTTATCGCATTTGATCAATACTGATTGTGAGATGCTTATCTATTCGTCAGGATACTTTTAATATTCCTTCGAAATCTCCTTTCAATTCAAATCAATTTTGCTTAATGATTTTTTAGAATTAATGTATAAAAATTGATTCTCTTTCTTTGAGTCTCTCTCTGTAGCGCTAACTTTGTTAGAGTTAATATATTGAGATTTAAGCCAGCAGTACACGAGACTATTTTTCCTACTGAATTGCTTACGAGAATCAATAAGGATGCAGTTTTAGATCAGGTGACTTGAGGCTAAAGACAACGGCACACGATACTATTTTTCCTACTGAATTACTTACGTGAATCAATAAGGATGCAGAGTTTTAGATCAGGTGACTCAAGGCAGTAGGGAAAATCGTATCGTGTGCCGTTGGCTTTAATCCTGATCGGCTCTCGGCAAGCAGTCCAGCAGGAAAAATAGTATCGCGTACCGTTGGCTTTAGTTTCCAATCCGAGCAGAGATGTTTAAGCGAGATACTTATTTTTTTCCGAACAGATTGATACAATTATTTCTTAGTCGCAATTAACGCAACGAATTTATCCAAGCGTGATAAATATCCGTTGCATGCATGGCGACCGTATTAAAAAGTCGGGCCTACCTATAGGCAGGTGCACCAGCAAGTTGCTCCTCAAGTCTAGAGACCGGAGTCGCGCAAGGTCGCCCATTCGAGGTGGAAGACTCGTGATTTCGTTGCAACCTGCGTCCAGTTCTGCCAATGCTGTCATCCTGCCCAGCTCGTCCGGCAGAGATGCTAATCTGTTGTGTGCGACTAGCAAGGTCTGTAGGGGTAGCCTGCATATCTCTCGAGGTAGCGACGTCAATTGGTTTCGACTGCGAATCAGGATATTGTTTTCTTTAAATAAATTCGTTGGACCTCTCGCTAGAGCTGCATTCGCTGCGAATTGGGACTTTTCAAATGGATAATCGATTGCCATAATCGATGGTTCAATTTTAATAAATTCTTGCAACAATTATTAAGAGAATAATTTGTAAAATATCTCAGAATATTAATTTTTTAAGTAGACACAGACTCGTCAACAATTCGTCTCTTTCGTTAAAAGTCCTTTCTTCAATCAAAGAATTACTCATTTAATTACTCGAGTACATTCAATAATTAATTATGTAATTATATTAGCTAATCAATTATTATCCCAATAGCTCTTGAGGCACTAAAAACTTTTAATTGTACTATGCGTAGAGCATAGCGAGAGCTTAACGTTATCGGCGCTGTGCCGTATCACAGGACGCCTGCGATACTGTATCGCTCAGTCCGATGTATGTGTATGTAAATATGTACGCAAATACGTATATACCAACCTAAGATCGAGGTAGTTCAGGGATTGGAGCATTACGACGGTTTCCGGGATTATTCTTATGGCATTATGATAGAGATGCAGCTTTTCGAGGAATGGAAACTCCGTGACTTCCTCCGGTAACTCACTGAAACGATTCTTTGAAAGGTCTGTAACATAAAGCAGATACTCATCTTTATGACGTGCTAGATAGAGACACGATAGAGACACGAGACGGTCGTCGCTTCCGCCGTTAAAAAGAAACGTAAATTCAACTGGTGTCGCGTGATTTTAACCGGAAGTTGGCACGCGGTGAAATTATAGGACGCAGAAAAAAAATAGATCTCGCGCTGCCGAAAGCTAATTTGCAATTAAGAGCCGATCGCTCGACGACAAAGTCCCGCGTTTATCGTTGGCTCGTCGCATCGCAAAAGCATCAGCGCGAGCAATTAAACGGCGTCTCTAAATGGCGATCGGCCGATAAAGCCCGTTGCTATCGAACTGTCTTAATAAGGCACCGATATGTCTCCCATGGCAACAGCTGTGTATGTACCTCGGTTGGGGTGATCTTAGGGTGTTGCTGGGGGGGCTGTTGTGAATGGGGGCGCGACGGCCACGTGCGCGCACAGGCTCGAAACGCAGGAAAAGGACAAGGGTAGCTCAGCTGCTCCCGGCTTCGACGCTTCTTTCTGATCAATAACAGCCGTCCTCGAGGCTTGCGAACACATTCGCGAAGGACGTCTCTCGCGAGGGACTCGCATGCCGAGGGCTTCCGAAATAGCAATCGTTCTTTTAAATGCAGGCACGTGAAAATGTCTGGAGGGTGTTCAAAACTACGTAATTACGCAAGACGTCGCGAAATTGACACCATATGGCCTGAGCAGAATGGCTATCTTGTACCGTTAAGACAGCCTTAAGACAACGTTTTATATTTTACGCCTTTGTCTTGAAGTAACGCACAATACCAGACAGCCATTCTGCTCAGGCCCTTATCTAGATTACTCATTGTTAGTAAATACGTATACAATTGTCTCTCTTTCTACATGTTGAGCTTTTCATCGAAAAATTGAGTATTATTAAAGTAATTAGTCTGAATTTTTCCCTGCTTTTAAATATATCCGCTCTTGGGCATACGTATTTTTAACATCAGCGATTGACAAAGAGAAGGGCGCGGTTACTACGACACTCCTGGACTCACGTACTTGACATTTATGTTGCTTGGAGTGTCGACAATAGTCAAGACCTCCCGATAGCCTTAAAATACACAAGCCTTGATCTTATTTAACATAAGACGTCGACAGAGCAACTCGAGACGTCACAGCAGATGTTTCGCATAAAAATGGCATATAATAATTTTATTTGTTCTTGTTCAGTTAAGTATACCAGACAGATTAGTTTGCAGAAATTTTACAAACATACCCGGGGAGAAAATTAGATCCCGGAATTCGTCGATCAACGGAAATTGGCAATCGCTGCGTGTGCGACGGATACGCGATTTCCTCTAACGGGGCCGAAAGCAAAGTTTGCTCGGTTCGATTTTCGTCGATTCAATTGTCATTCTTCCTCAACGAGATAAATAAAGAGCATCCATCCACATAAATGTTGTTGCAATTCGCGAATTACATTTACAAGTATTAATACAAGTAATTATTTCTGCATCTATATAAAATAAAATATTTAATAATTATGATATAGTCGTTACGAATATAGCTGTAACGATATAACGGTAAAGGGCATTATATTAATTTATTTTCAAGTTTTCTCTCTTTTCCCCCCCGCTGGTACACAATTACTGGAATCGCAGATTGCAATAACTCAATCTTGCGAATCGCGCCCGTAATTCACCATAGCGTAGTACAATTCGTCTTCATTCGTCGAAAAATGTGGCAATTTACGCCTGAGGTTACAACCCGAGGGTGTGTCTTGACGAGCGTAACTTCGTTAATCGATCTCGATTCTTACATGCTGCGCGAACCAAGCGTATTGAGACGGGAGCGATTCGTATGGGGAGTAAATCCGGGGCGTGAACAGGGATGCCTGCAACACTTTTATCGCGCATTTAACTTTTCACCCTCAATGCCGCGAATCGATATTTTAATAAAGTAATCTGCACACTTGGAATGTTGGACAACACCAAAAAAATTCAAGTAATAGATCATTAACTTCAGTGTTTTCTTGATCATATCTGGCAGTTTTAATAATACAGACAATTTATTGCGAAAAATATTACCTCAGCCAGGGTATTAGCCTGGACTTTCCTACTCTCTAGGCGGGCGTCTCTGGCTGAGGTAATATTTTTCGCAAGAAATTTTCTGTATTATTAAAAATGCCAGATTTGGTCACGAAAAAAATGAAGTTGTTAATTACTGCTGGCGACATTGAAAAATGTTCTTGTTAGTTGATAGATTATTATTACGTAAAAATGCATGTGTTATTCTCATTTACTTTTGTGAATCCACCACTTCCTTTCTCGATAGTTACATAAATAATCGCGTGAAAAAGTCTCGGCACTGAGAAGCATCTTTAAAAAGATTTACCGATATAGATTATAGATATTTGCGGTGTCGGATAACGTGCCGAAGCGTCAATATCCTTCGTCTAATTTTAAGTCTGGTCATTTCTTAGTCTGGTAGAGTACGGTCGATGTCCGTGGCGCAAGGGCGTCGGCCTGTCTGACGAAGACGGGGCTGAGACCCCTTGCCAACCCCATGAGCAACTCCCACGCAATATTGGATTTTCTCTCGAGCACCTTCTCTTTGTGCAAAGTGGCAAAATTCTGTGGCGAACGGCCGCGTCGTCGACATGGTGGCATTGTGGCTTTCTGTCGTAGAATTCGTTTCAACAATGTATAACGTGTCGTCATAATTCGTACATTTCGGAGTGCATGTTGCTGGCGGGAGGCTTTTCCTCTTCCCGGTTCTCCCTTTCGCGAGACATAAAGTTCTATCGGTGAAAGCATGGGAGGTAGCATCAAGGAGCGACTCTCATCTCTCAATACGTTCGTTAGTGCGCTAGAGGTCGGAAAAATGCCTCACGCTTCTATTGTATCTCAAGTAATAACTCGGAAAAATTTCTTTACATTTGTTAAAAATATTATCAATAATTATATTTTATTAGAAAATATCAAATACCCCACATCTATTTAATTGCGAAGCTATGTGCTATACGAGAAGAATGTATAAGTACTTTAGCTCTTAATCAATAATTAATAATCCAAATTTTGCTTGATATTTAAAAATATGTGATATTGTCAAGTCTCAAAGAGCTGTCTTTCCTCAAAGCATTGTATCCTTTGACTTTACTAACAAGTATTTGCTTGCAGAGGTCGGTGACCTCATACACTTAATAGCACATTTGAATCCTTGTGACATTTATAATGTTCATCTCGTGTTTTGTTAAGATCTACTTTTTCTATAAAATAATGTTAACCCTCAAAGTGCTTCTGCGGGCGATCGGCCCATAACCCCTGTCCTAGTGAACACCAAGTAATAGTTACATAATATCAATCTTATAATTTTCTACTTAACAATGTAAATGTAATATAACATGGGTGTTATATTATATTTATCTTGTTGAGTAGGAAATTATAACATTGATGTTATGTAACTGTTACTTGGTGTTTACTGGAATGTTAAAAAATATAACTTTAACATGTTTTTCTTTATTAATCGCTACACTTATTACGTGTGTAATTTTACATACTTTTTTTACAGTCGTTTTACGAGCCATCGAATTATTGAGTTGAATTACGGTGTTCTAGTGTAATATAGTTTTTGTTCTCGTGCGATTTATGAAGAAGAGATTTTATCTTTTTGTGCATTATTGATCAGCATGACGCAGGTCAGTCAATACTGATTTCAAATTTAGGAATGGCCGATACAAATCGGCGGAACCGCGCGTGCGAGAGAATCTCTCTAAATATATCTACACTTCCGTTCCTAACGGTCAGACGGACGCGATAAATATCGCAGCCGTGCCCTTCGCGGTGGTTGTACAGGACGTTTCAGAAAGGGTCGATGCACCGGAACATTTCAAGGACCAAGGTCGAGGTCCTACCGTCGAGGATCGATACGCAATTGCGTGACGCGCGTACAGTGACATTATTTGCTGATAAAGGGCGTGGCAGTTTTAGAAACCTATACGCTTTTTGCAATCCCCGATTTACATCGACTAAGATAAAGGCGTTAGTAAACGGTCAATTAAGAAATATTGTTACACCGCTTGTCCCTCTTGCTAAATAAAAATGTTATTTTGATTACATTTGGGACATCAATCAAGATCTAATGTTTCACAAGTACTGGTAGATGAGCTACAACTGTAACTGCTAAACTGTCCGGCGTTCATTTCCGCCGAAGTGTCGATTTGCAAGTTGCAATACATTGAATCGATCATTCATCAGTATAGATTAAATTTTAAAATAACGAATATTGGCTGAGAAAAACTTGTAGCACAAATTCCAACGTGGAACTATTTGATTCGTGCTCGATGAGAATCATGAATCATTGATAAAAAAAGTTTTACTCCAAGGTAGTATGAATCAATGGTAGACGCATTGAGTTGCAAAGTCGGTGGGAGGATTTGCTTATTTCGCGAATAAAAGGACGAGGCTTTGGCGGAAAACGTCCGCTTCGCTGTTTCCACATTGATTTCCACGTGCTGAAGCACACGAGGCCATTGGCCCGTATAAATGTCCCGGCTAGGCGAGACAGTCGCTCTTTGACGCTCGTCTGGCGGCGGTGGCGACTCTGCCCACCGTTTCTTTCTCTCGTTCAGGTTTCCATCTAGGTGCGCGATCACGAGGGACGTGTGTTCTCGTAACAGGTAGCCTTGAAGGCCGAGCCCGGTCATTTCCTCGAACCTTAACTGGCGGCTCTGTTGTGCCGCGGTGCAAACGAATGAATCGTCACTCGCGGAAAGAGAAAATTCCAAAGGGCCGTGTGTCGAAATTAGGCACATAAAGATTTGTGTCCATTTCGATGAAACTCACGGGATAAAAATGAAAATGTTATTTCTTTAGAAATTATTATTACAAGATAAAGGAAAATACATCGGAAAACATTATATTGTAACAACTGCACTATATCTAATTGGAAACGACCTTGTTAATTCAAGAACAGTATTAAAATCGATACATATTTGTATCAACATATATTCATTTGACAGAAATAAGAATAACAATGAATTAAGAAGATTATTTTCAATTAGACTCGTACCGTTAATTGGACTGACGCATTATTTTTGTTCGTGTGTGTAAGGTATAAATGTTCCTCACCTCTCACAGAGAACATTGCAGTTGCAAAATTTAATCGTATTTTTTTAAACCGCATGACGCAGAATTAATTGTATTTTTTGAGCCGACGCAAAGTTAATCGAATATTCTTGAATCAACGAAATTATATTATACGAGTGAATTATATACGGAAAGAATTTTCTTTTAAAATTTATCCTGAAAATTATGTAATCATTTTGAAGAACTTAATGATATTTTACTAGTAAAGTGTATATGGTAAAATTTCAAAAAACACTTAGAGAGAGAGAAAGTTCTTCAAAATGCCACACGTTGTCTCACGATCTATGATTGTCAGGGTAAATTTTAAGAGAAAATTCTCCCCGTGTGTATCGATAAAACCACTCGCCAATTAATTCGTAGTGTAGGCACGAGATAGATGTGTGCATACGAAATGTAGAATTTAATTACAAATATGAATTCAGATAGCGATTAGGACGGGGCGCACGATATAGACCGCGTATATTTCCCTGGGGCGAGATAGATTGCTCAACGGCGCTATTGAATGGATAGAGGAGTTTAGGCTTAGAGAGCCGGTTTACCGCGCCTCTACCACCTGAGGATACGATGACGCACGATAGAGCTAGTAGAGGAACGGAGCGGCTCTTTTAAATACCTGTATAGAAGGGACTGTGAATATATCCGACTTACAATGATAAAACTCGCAGCACTTGCTCCATTCTCGAGTCTCAGCGAAGCAGTTTACTTTCTTTCATAAGCAAAGCTACTTTTCCTTTTTAAATTTGCCTAATTCTTGCATGTGCCAGCCGTAAGCTGGAAATAATATCCATATTTCTCACAAAACGGGCTTCTATGGACATTTATGTTTCTTAAGACTACTAATTCAATATATTTTTAACTTATACGTTACTGAAGGAATAAGAGAAGGAAAACTGATAACGTGTCATGTTTGTACTCCAACACATCGTGTGCAAAGCGCACCATTGTTGCTCGACGTTTGACAATAAAAATGTCTTGTCTTTTTAAAAGTCATGCAATGTATTCAACAAAATGAAATCTAAAGACTGTTGCGGTTTCAAGGCTTAATCGTGTGTTTTAGCCCAACGCAAAATTCGCTCTTTATAATTGAATTATAGCTACACTATCTAGTAAAACCAGTCAGACGCTAGATCGGTTTATTATGCACGCAATATCGCCGCATCGTATTTGTCTCGCGCGTTTGAGTACGGATATAAAGCCCGATGCACGAGAGGAACGAATGCCTCCGGTTTCTGGGTGTGTCTCAGGCGAATCGTTCGTTCGAGCGAAAAAGTCTCCGTGACATGTCGTCGTCGTCGTCGTCGTCGGCCACGAGAGTTGCAGGTGAAATTGACTTCTCGTTAATTGGAACGCGTCACGCACCCGACGCGTCATGGATTTCTTCTCCGACGTGGGAAAACGCAAACCTCGAAGGCGCACGGAAATTGGCCTTATTGATCGCTCGGTATTATCGGAAGACGTTATTGTGCAACAACCGTCTAAAAATAGACGGAACGTAACGACGGCTTGTTTTACAAAATATAGAGATAAAATATATAGATTGGGGAAAAAGGCATCGGGTTTTATATACGGCGAAGTATCACGCGCGGTGCTTCCGGTCGAGATCGAGGGAAGAAAAATTTTGATTTTGCAGTCGACACTCTTGGATTTTATTCGAGAGTTTCGGGATTTCTCTTGGCAGTGCCACGCGGCGAACGTTTGTTCGCCAGCACAAAATGTATTTCTGTCGAATGACGAACCTCGCTTGCGACGATGCAATAACGTAATATAATATCGATTCTGCGCCGAGGCCGGTTTCGCTCGTTACGATCAATCGGCGATAAGTATTACGCCAGCGATAAGTATATCCGGCGCCGCAATCATCGCATTAGTTCCTCCGACGCTACCTTAATCACTTGACACATAAACGAGCTAATACCCGCAACGGACAATGTGAAAAGATCTTCCAGCATTTCTTTTAAGGATGTATTGGACGGATTAGCTCTTCCAAAAATTAATCCAGAACGTCTGAAAATTAAAACTGAACACAGCATGCAATCTTATCGGCACATAATTTTAAGAAATTCGCGAAATCATAGTTTAAAGTATTGTTCATTGTAAATAGAACTTGAGTTTGATGACAATGTAGAGGTTTTTGAGCTTGCGTTGTCACTTTCCGTCGTCGATATCGCGTTATTATTAATTGCAAAACGAGCGAGAAAATCGTTTTGAAATTCCGCAGAAACATTTTTACATGTCTGAAGAATATGATACAAAAAATCAAATTGGTTTTATTGGATTTATTATTTGTCTCTCGAAAGCTCCCTATGATAAAATAGCAATATTAGAGCAATAACTTTTGAACGAGCAAGTAAAAAAATTGAAACGTTATTAAGAAAATTAAGTTAAGTAAAATTAAGTTAAAATTTTACGACGATAACATAGGTTGTGTATCTATCCAATACAGCCTTCACAGCGGGAACGAGAGGAAAAATAAGATAGATGAACATGTCCACGTGTGGTCCCCACAGACCTGGACTTTTCTCATTGTCGTCACGTACTTGCGACCGCAGAAAGCGTGCGGCTGGTCGGAGTAGGAAACTCTCGTCGGGGTGTCTACCTCATTTCTCAAAAAAAAGAAAAGAATTCCCGGATATTTCAAGTTTTCATTGAAATTTCTAGACAAAATTATAATAGTTTTTGGATCCCTGAGAGGTTTTTCTCGGTGGTAGACACCCTGATCGCTGGAGTTCTAGAAGAAGCGCGACTTTACGTCGTTAAGTCGTCCCGGGACCGTAAGAGCCACGTAAGGGCCGCCTCGGAAACCGTGGAAACAGAAGGGCCGATCGATAACGGCCCCACGGTGGTAAATATTGCCCATGGGGTTGCCGCAGTCGAGTACGCAAGGTGCTCCGCGCGCCGTGTTGTGCACTCGCGCTACGAAACAAAGTGAAATATGCACGCTCTTATCAGCGTGAAATTTGACCGAGTTACCTCTGCGGGAGGCTAGCCGGAAACTACGTGCACCGCGCGAGAATGCACTCGCCGCAGTGAAAGTCGTTTTGCATAGGAAAATATAGAAATCGAAGAAAAAGTGGAGTTCTTTTGATGAATAATAATTAAGCTTTTAATCGGCCATAACTGGCAACGTGTTTTTAACACAGAAAATTTATTGCGGGGCATGTTACATGCCTCAGTGGTCGAATTGGTGAGACGCCCGCCTAGAGAGTATGGGAGGTCCAGGTTCAAACCCTGGCTGAGGCAATATATTTTTTGCAATAAATTTTCTGCGTTAAAAACACGCTGCCAGTTATGGTCGACTGAAAGCTTAATTATTGCTAGTCAAGTACTGGCGTCAAATAATTCTTGATGTTCTTTTGAAGAATTCAAGAGCGACTCTTTTTGATCTCGCGGTAGAATCACAAGGTCTTATCTTTCTTTACCCCTTTTCTAAATAATTATAATTGACGTATGAAACTATTATGCGACATTCAATCAACGTTTCACCGATTATCTTATGAATTTCTGCCAGTATTACAATATGGAAAGCGATACATTTGACAGACATTACGTCTCTTTTATCATTCATTAAAACTCGTGACATAACCGATGGCTATTCGTTCGTTCTCAAATGTAATATACTGTGCGTTTTCCCGCACGCAAGGTAATATAAGGTCTGCAAATAATATAACATCGAGAGCCGTAGCCCCTATCGTCTTTATGACGTTGTCATTGTGACGTGGCGCAAACTTCGTTGGTTCCGCTATGACGCAAAGAATTACTGGATAGACCAACAGGAAATGAAGAATCGATAAGTCCCTTCTTCCAAAGCAAATGGACTCTTTTGAGAATTGTGCCTTGTTCGAGACGCGCGATGATTGTCGCATGAAGAGCTTGGTAGAGCGCGATTCTCACGTAATTGACTTTCGCCGCCGTCGTCATCGTCGTCATCGTCGTCATCGTCACGGTGGCGACATATGATGCCGCCGTGAAGGCCAGAAGAAAAACGACGTCGCGAGAGGCAGCACCGGTGAGAGGGAAACGGGAGGAGAGATAGAGGAAGCGAGAGAGAAGAATTGTGCACGAAAAGAACAAGTTCATGGCGCATCCGTCCTCCGGCGAGAACCTGAGAACGCCTCTTCGTCGTCGCGTGCTGTCCTTGAACCGCGTCGCTATTGCCGTGTCATTGGCGGGTGAGATCGCGTCAAAGACGACGAGGTGCACGACGAGGTGGAGAAGCACTGCGGCAGGGAACCAAGGAGGGAGCCTCTACCTCTCTTTCTCTTTTGTCAGGGACCGCCACAACTTCCGGCGACGCGCACGGACGCGAGTACGGACGAGACTGGCATACTCGATCGGATGCCATGCGGAATTCAAGAGCCATCGTCTGGACGAAACTCGGTGACGTTCACCGGCTGACGTTGTTTATGGGTAGCCGTTAGTGACTAATACACTGAGAAAAACAATTGAACGGTGTTTCCGATAAAATTTCATTAAAAAACTGATGATATTTTTCATCCGATATACAATTTAATTGGATATATTCGTTTGTTGTTATGTAATTATGTTACTGGCTAGAGGAAAAAGAAAGAATATGCGTCTTTTATAAAGGATGGGATAGCCTTGAGCATTAAATAAAGGAATATAGTATGACATCACACTGATTTAAGAAATTAGGAAAAAACAATAAAGAAATAAGATATGAAGTGATGAATTAGATACAGTAAGAGGGAATACTATAAGGAAGTTAAGAATGGAAAGAGAAAGCAAGTTGCGAAGTTTAAAGAGAGAAAAAGGAGAGAGAAAAGAGGTGAGTGAGAGAAAAGAAATGTAAATGATATAAGATCAATATAAGACTAATAAAATACAAGTAAGGAATATAAAATCCATACAAGTGTAAGTAAACATAAGCTAAAGAAAATTTAATATAGAATAAAGTTAAGTTTATAGAATTGTTAAATTTAGGTTTCAAATACAAGTAAACTAAGTAAATAAAGCAAGTAGACTCTGAGAGCCAAACGCGTCTCGTCTATTACAAATCGATTTGTATTAGATTGTTAATTAAATTTGCATAAAGTCGATACACGCAGGACCGCATTTGACTCTCAAGGCTCACTTTTCTTCGTTCCTCGTTAATTTAAAAGTATCGAGAGAGTCTTTAGTTAATTAATCGCTTATTTTTGTAAAACACTGTTAAAATTATGTGCCAATAGACAGAGCCGCTGTTTTCAAAAGTATTATTCGCATTTGTACGAAATAAAATGGAATTCTTTGTGGTGTCATACAGCCGAGCCCGCATGTTTAAAGCTAATACTCGGCCGGAGCGTTTTCGTGCTCCCGGCAAAATTGAACTCGCCGGCGCTGCAGCGCCTGGAAATCTCGTATACGCGCGTTCTGATGGACGATGTTTGGATTCCGTCTAAGCCGGCCGTCAGAGATAATTTCCACGACAGCGAGTCGTCGGCCATCTGGTACACGATTCGACCAGGCGTGAATTACGCGCGTGAAAAGCCGCGGGGGAATTAAATCACGCAATTACGCTAAAAACGATACGGACCTACGTCGGGACGTGAGAGGAAAGAAAATTTGGAAGAAGAAAACTGAATCGCCAATTAGGAGCCGAGCTCCGGAATTCCGTTCCAAATTTTGCCCGGAAAAAATCCGCACGTGGGAGAGAGAATTTCTGAAACATGACGTTTTCACGGCTCGCCTTGTACGTGGACGAGACGGCTGATGCGTGTCGAACAGTGCGTCGCATTGTGCGCGCGGCGGTCTCCGACGACGCGTTCGGCAGTGCGTGATTATAGATGTATGTACATTTGGTAGAGACGTGCCAGTGTGCATGGTACGGACGCGAACGTACGGCAGGGGAACAAAGGAGACGGTTTTTTTCGCCCGTCGGGAACGTTTCGATTTTACGCTGGCGCCGATATACTGGGTGTCTCGGCCACGCCGATTTTAATTTCGCTATTTAGGCCCTTCGATCCAAATTCGCAGGCCGATCGTTCCTTATAACCAGAGCATCGGTAATTATTCGATTATCAGCGAGACTAATCGTTGTGAATTAAATTTCAGCAAGCGTGAATTCAATTTCACTAGGCGGGAGGAATAAATTTACCACTGAAATTGGAGAGAACGTGTAATTGAATGCGTTGCACAGGAAATATGTTTATCAACGACACGCGCTTTCGCAACGTTTCCGTCGCTGATTATGTTCGCTTATTTCCGCGTGGATTCTACCTTCCGCACCACGTATTGTTTGCAGCGCGGAGTCTCAAATAAAACCCAACTTCTTATTAGCCACGTCGTTCTTTTAATTATTACACACTGAAAAAATCTTTCTTTTTCTTGTCTTCCTTATTTACTGAGACCAGACTCGGTACCAAATAAATGCATCGAGCGTGTTTTCATTATACACGTTATTGTGCTTGACGCGAAAAAAAACGCTCTGGAAAAACGTGTTGGAAATTGGGAATTTGTACTGGAAGGAAAAGCGCGAGAAAGCCGGATAATATTATTTACCGATGGAAAACGCAATCAAGGCAAAACGCAAAGATTTCATTATGACTTTTACCACGACGGTCGATGCGAAAATGGTAGAAACAGCATTGCAGAAAAGAGTCTCGCGTGCATCGTCGCGGCGCCAGATGTAGGCTTATTATATCGAAAATTTATCGTAATTGCGCGATTATTAAAAATCGCAATAATTAATTTCAGGCCTGTGCTGCCGCACGAAAGCGTTTAATCGCGACACGTACATGAACAATTGGAGCAAGTAATTATATGCCATTAGATCGCATTTAACATTCATGATTACCTACCAACTTGCATTAAAGGGAATCAGCGTTGTAAAGAATATTAATAAACGTTACAAGGAATATCGTTCGTTGAAACCAGAGTTGGGAAGTAACTCGTTACTTGTAACGAAGTTACAGTTACTTTTTTTTGGTAAACTCTAACTTAACTTTTACTTTCTTAACGTTACTTTCTCTCCATCTGTAACTGTAACTTAACTCAGTTACATGTTTTCGATAACTGGTAAGTAACTTAATAGTTACATTAATAGTGCCTTTATATATTTTTTTAAACCTCCACAGATTGCATCAGGCCTCGCATTTACACATAAATGCCTTTATCGACGCTTTACAATTCAAATGCTGATTTGATATTTTTATGTTGATTGCAAGAAAGTAGCTGCAAAGTTACGTTTCGTTACTTTTTAAGTAACCGTAACTGTAACTAATCACGTTTTTAGCGAAGAAACTGTAACTGTAACTAGACACTTTTATAAAGTAACTTTCCCAACCCTGGTTAAAGCACGCACGCGATTAAACGTCTCTGAGATTTACATCTCTTCTATCACCGCAGCCGTTTCTGTTATCGCGATCTCGCGTGAATCAGTTTGAGATGCGTTTGCGAAGGGGGCTAAAAGACGCCTCTGTTCCCCGTAATTTGCGCTCAACAAATGACGACCAGAGATGATCGTCGAGGCGCACTCGTTGGTCTCCGTTTCCACGCGCGTTATCCACGCGCGGTCGCGCCTCCCAATTTAAAAGCCGCGCTTTCGCAGATTGAGTTAACCTTAATGACGAGGCGGCCTACAAATTATACCGACGGGCTATCGAGCGGCGACACTGAGAAGAAAACGGCTGCCAAGGCACATTTAAAAAGAATTGTAATTCTATTCCTGAATAGGGAGATAACTAATATGTGTAGATAACATTTGTCATTTAGCATACGTTTTATAATAAGCGACCTTATGAATCAGCATGCAGCAAATCATAAAGCACTTTAATATTATTCATGAAACCGGGTTTTCAATTAAGAAACTGCGATTCCGACGTTTCTGACAAGGCAATTTCTCTTGATTAGAGAATAAAGTAAAATAAATGACGAAAGGTGCGTTGTCTCGTATATTTTCTATACATATGCATGAGCCGCTCGCACTTGGCTATCGCGATTTTCATTCGTCGTTCGCGAATACGTTATTCAGCTTAATGTTTCGTGCTAAGGGTGCAGCGCCTACAAATGGAGGCTGTACATTTTCAGGCGCGGATATGGCACTCGTCGGGGAGAACATGAGGGATACAAGTCCTCTCCTCTACACGTTCACGTATTTTCACGCATATCAGCGTATCAGCAAATACTTTCGAGTGCGAACTCACGCGGCGTGCGAATGCAGTTTCGATCGTGCACCCACGGAAAAAATTTCTAGATCCAATGCTATTACACTTGAATGTATCATAAAATAGGATCGATATAGC